GATACAGCTGATACGTAGACATCGTCAATGCTTAGGAAATATATGTTTTGACAGCTTTCCTAGTTCTTCTAATAGTTAACAATTCTAGTTCCTGAAAAGTACTGTTATTGATATTCATTTATTTGATTCTTTGATTAATGCAACCGATTTTCTGTGAGAACTACAAACTGGTTCAAAGCATTATGATGTACTCTGAAATACAGATAATAACTTTATGTCGGCTTCAGTGGCAGTGCACTGTGAACCAGCAGTCATTTTAGCCCCGATAAAGATGACAGATGGTTATAGAAACATCGGCTCTTGTAAACAAGTGGTTTAGAATAAAGTACTTTGATATTCAATCATTCACCAAACTGATAAAATCATTTACGGGGAACAGAACATGTATCATCTTTTATCCAGGACGAAAATGCATGGTGCAGTCATACTGATGCTACTAGCAGGATGGTACATCGTGCCTTGCGGTAAGTTATATTTCACAGGTCCTCTTGTGCCTCCAGTCAAAGAAAAGAGCTCGAAGTAAAGGGAGTACTGGTAAAATAATGGGAAAAGCATTTTCTCGTCATGTCTGTATTTTTGCCTACTGGTAGCGTAACCGCTGTTTACCTCCATGGAAAATGGAGGTATTGTTTTTGGTATATCTGTCTGTGTGTGTTTTCGCACGTTTGTAGTCAGCATAACTTCAGAACGCTTATATGGATTGTGATGATATTTGGTCTGTTTGTAGGAAGACAAAGGTCAGGGCCAAATATGGCCCCCATGGTGGCTGACCTTGGCACTGCAGCAGACCTTCCGGGTTTTGTATCTTTTGTCCTGAACATGCTAGAAAAAGTGGTATGGGTTTGGTCCCCCTAGCAGCTTGTTCTGGAACTACAGGGAGTTAATCATTTGCATAATTACTGTGAAAATTCTGTGATTTCTGAATGGTTAATGATGGGAATTTTATACCTTTGTAATGACATGTGTAAGTTACTTAAAGGTTAACATCACTGTGCATATATTATGTTAATATAGAGGTCACTTGCATAAATAATGAGGACATGTATTGAAATATTGCTAAAGGATAGGAATTTCGCAGGCAAAATATTGTGATTTGAGTTTAGATGACCATAAGTTAAACTAGATTATGTTAATTATGACCCCATTTCCATAATCAATGAGTGAAATAAAAAAAAACATTTACATAAACTCTACATATTTCATGGAGGTATGAGGTCCGAATACTTGTGTCTGTAACGCTTAAGCGGTAAACTGCCACATGGTGTTGAATACGATCATTCTATGGAATGTTAATTACAAGATCTACATGTACGGTGTCCCCAACTGCAAATCACACCCCTACATGTTTCGATATGATTGTCATTTCCGACAGAGCCGATCTGGCAGTACGAGCCCTCGTGCTACAGAACTGAGGAAACACAAACGTCATGGCACGAGGCTTTCATGACGTGTGTTGCTAAAGGTGGATACCTGGCGGCAGGAGACAAACCAGATGAACTTAACAGTATCAAGTTATCAATACAACAATCGAAGCAGTACTGGATTGGAGCTAGGAAAGTGGACATGCGCCACAGGTACTTCTGGGTCAAAACAGGTTAGTGCCGAACAGATTACAGCTTATACCTCATGATTAAATTTGCGTCATGTACATAGAATTTGCCATTTTCCCTATAACTATAATCAGACCTATAAGTTCTTTACATTGGGCACAACACATCAAATTGTTACCACTGGGAGCATGTGGTTGCACATTGCAATGTATCTAATAATAGATGGAATGGCGATGACATATTTGATACAATATGCACTGTGAATAATCACTAATCAGATTCTAACATTGTAACATACCATGTATTCATATATACATTGTATGTACGCATGGAATACCGCAAGTACGTACGTGTAATTAAATTCTTGTGCATTGCACAAGGTCTTCATTTTCTTTACCCAAGCATTTCATTTAACTGAGAAATGTGTTACAAACAATATTCTTCAAAATGTATGAGGTGCTCATGTTTTTACGACTCAACATGTTATTATCCTTGAATAATATCTTTCCATTTGAAATAAATTACGCCACTGACAACACCTTATGTTCAGATATTCTCGGACAACTCTTCTCTGTCGTTTGTCAACATTACGACACCTAAAGTATTTGATGCGGTTTTTAACTTTATTTTGCAGACAGGTCATTTTACAAAGTTGATTTGTTCTGATTTGTACATCAGCCCATTTTGTACTTCTTTGTTACTTCTTCATCGTTATGTCGTTAGTACTTTCATCTGTATATTTGGAGAGGAGAGGGCCTCGATAAGTAATGTGCACTTTTTACCGAATCCATGCCCTCGTCAATTTAAGAGTATTTCCTTAAAAGTGTTAGTATTTTTAACTTTTTAAACAAAATTAAAGACTAAAGTCGTTTTGTTCAGAACATATCCGGTCAAGGTTAAGAAATAAAGATAAACATTACAGCAAAACTGCCCTTTGAGATAAATCATCAATGTGGTGGAAAAACAAGTATAGTATTCGCTAAATAGGCTAAATCACAATGGCACAATGGCATGGCACATGAACATCAGAAAACCAAATCGACCTCTGCATCTTGTACTACACATGCACGACTATTCGTGACGCGTGCTCATTGGAAGTAGCGTCTTTGAAAGAACCGTCTTGTCCAGTTACACGCTAAAACTATATTGAGACTATCCCTACAGCCCAACCTCTTTATTTCTTATCAAGTTGTCATTTCCTTTCATACAATCACAGACCGGAAACAAAGGTCTCATATTACACTCCATTGTTCTGCTTGGGAACTACTTGTATCTTCATACACCCTACCTGCAGCCAAGGTTTTTCCTCCCAGACTTCAGAACGTTATAATTTTCATGCGTCAGTGAAATAAAGACAGATGTAAGGTCAGTGAATCTGCCAAAATGCAAAAGTGCAGAGCAATACGCTGCAATACTAAAATAACCAATTATAGAAATTGACCTTCGTCTTTGCTTTCCCTAGCCATCTACTAGATATAACAACTAACCGTCAAGTTATGTTGTACACAATCAAAAACACAGAAAACATAAACCGCTACAGCAACTACTACCATTGTCATTACATCCATTCACAGCTTCTCGAGCAAAACAAAAGCACGAAAAGCCCCCTACAGCACCGTTGCAAAACGCCACCTTGACATTTGTTTTTACAACAGCTACCCACATTCCAAATATAAAAAAAGATTCATCCATAACTTCTCGTGTTATGACGTTGACATTGCACAAAGATCCACACCACAGCCACTCTACCAAGCCCAAACCGAAACCATACCCTTCTGACGAAGGCAATAAATGTATAAGGTGGTTTAGTTTATCGTGGAAAAAAAAGTATTACAAAAGGATGTGCAAACCTCAGGATGCTTAAAAAATGCATAAAAATTGAAGTTGCTATTAAATTAAGTCTGTTGGTGCATGCTTTTTCTAGAGTTGCTGGCCGAAGCTACATGTGTTGATGACAGATATGAGAAGATAGATTGTGGCACGGGCTCGAATGACGAATGCGAGGCCAGGAGATGCTGCTATCAGAGTATATATGACGGATCTGTGGAGCCCTGGTGCTCATATCGGAAGAGTAAGACATTTTTTTATTCTACGCCCTCCGTGTTGTTTCCTTTTATGCATTGTTTTCTCTCTTGTCAATTTTTTTCATTTCAACGTATATCTAATCCGTAGTCAAAGCAATATGATACATGCATGTCAGTAAGAATCATGTTTATCATTATCATCTATAAAAGATTATGCAATACACAAATTTAAGGCCACACAAAGTGTAACATCGCACACACTATCCTTCACTTACTCTCCAAGCAGAGGTTTGGGTTTTGGGGTATTTTAGCGTGTTTTTAGGCTTTTTTTATTCGGGGTTTCTCTTTTGCACTGAATTTTTTGGTGGGAAAAAAAATTCAGTGCAAAAGAGAAACCCCGATAAAAAAAGTCTAAAAACACGCTAAAATACCCCCAAAACCCAAACCTCTGCTTGGAGAGTATCCTTCACTTACCGCAAAACATTTGAACCAATCGTGAATATTCTTTGAATATGAATTGTTCAACCGGTATAACTGTCCTTCGGTGTACCACACTAAGTTCACACGCAAGGAATCGTTCCACCCGTTAACATTGTTTGCACAGGCATCGGTTACGCACTTTTTTTTAGAAAAGGCGAAAATCAATGCGCGCGCGGATGTCATCCATAAAATTAAGTCGGAGTGGCCTTACAGATCTTACAACTGTGGGAGACATGACCAGCTCCGTTACCCATGGACAGGGAGACTGTGTTTCATCGGACAGAAGTAGCCTCAATGCCATCGATTGTTTGGAACACCATGAAACCATGTGTGAATCAGGTAATAACCCTTTTTTTTCAAGACCTTCGTATAGGAACAAGCTATATTTCTATAAATGAGCTGCGATGATTAGTGCACCAGATACATTGGCCATTTAATTCACCTAGAAAATTAAGATCGAAGGTGAAAAGTAAAAGCAGGATTAAATGCAGGATATATTTAACATTCTACTTATTTGATCAACAGATAAAAAGTGCATTAACCCAGCCGACCACACTTCAGCCTATTGTGGAGAGGTAGTGCATATTCGCTGTCCTGCAGGATTCCAGGTTATTGGAGAACCTGTCCTGGTGTGCACCGGAGGAAATGATGCAGCATTTACTGGAGTTTGGAACGGGACCTCTAAATGTGAAGGCAAGGTGTTTGGTTACATATTCTGCTAGTCTACAGCTAGCTAAAACTGTTTCTCGTCTGCTATATGTAGAAATCACAAGATTGACATGATTAACCAAAAGTAATTCTTAAAATCTGATCAATCCACATACGGCGTTGATCGAGGGAGACGTGGTAAATATGCAATTTTTGAAAAGGGCACTGTTATCGAAAGTCGTGTTTGCTTCTAAGATAATATCATTAATTGCCTAAAATAAATTTCCCTTTTCTGCAGAAATCGACGAGTGTGCATCTGCGCCATGTCAAAACAGTGGGTCCTGTCAGGACAGTGTCAACTCCTACATCTGCACTTGCATTACGGGTTATACCGGAAATGACTGCGAAATTGGTGAGAAGCGTCGTTCCAATTTGAAAAATTAAAACTCAATGACTCAAGGGTATAGAATTTTCTTCTTACACAACCAGTAAGGTTCTCACCTGCTTACGTTTCGATGTCTATCAGACACCTTCCTCAGAGCTTCTGACTGGAGTTCTGCAACTCGCCGCTATTTAACGCCTAAGTATATTCCAACCTGATGAAATTATTTACGGAAATCAATGACTCAAGTTCCAAATCTCCACCATGCGAGGCTGATTTAAAACTGGATGTTTTGAGAAAACGTCCTCCGCTGCTATACCCCGTCTTCTTGAACTGTGCTTAACATCTGGATTTTTGTCTTTTGTACAGATATCGACGACTGTGCCTCCGTACCATGTGGCGGCAATGGAGACTGTGTGGATGGTGTAAATTCCTACACATGCAACTGTCACCCAGGTTACAACGGGACCACCTGCGGAAATGGTGAGGAAAACTGTTAAAAGGGGATAGGTTGAAGAAACGTAACGGTTTTATTAGACTCTGACTCCTTTGCATAGTGTTTGATACCTGTCTTCTTCCCCATCTACAGATATCGACGAGTGTGCCTCCTCACCATGTGGTAACAACGGAGTCTGTGTGGATGGCGTCAACTCCTACACCTGTAACTGTAGCCTGGGTTACAACGGGACCAACTGTGAAAATGGCAAGGAAGCCAATAGATATTTCTGCGTTTAGGACAACATTTATTGTCGTTGGCTGATGCATTTTCTGTGTGGTTTCTGACAGAAACTTTTATTTTTCCACAGATATCGACGAGTGTGCCTCCTCACCATGTGGTAACAATGGAGTCTGCGTGGATGGCGTCAACTCCTACACCTGTAACTGTAGCCTAGGTTACAACGGGGCAAACTGTGAAAATGGTAAGGAAATTCACTTGCATTTCTGTATGCTGAGGACAACATCTATTGTCGTTAGCTGTCGTCATTTCTTTGTAGTTTCTGACAGTTGCTCTATTTTCCTGTGGTTTGTTGTGGAAAGAGGTGTTTACTCCTAACCTAATGTGACAAATTGCTAGATAAATTTCTCTCTTTTTTTTGCAGAAATCGACGAGTGTGCATCTTCGCCATGTCAAAACAGTGGGTCCTGTCAGGACAGTGTCAACTCCTACATCTGCACTTGCATTACGGGTTATACCGGATATGACTGCGAAATTGGTGAGAAGCGTCGTTCCAATTTGAAAAATTAAAACTCAATGACTCAAGTTCCAAATCTCCACCATGCGAGGCTGATGGCGATAACAGTTAAAACTGGATGTTTTGAGAAAACGTCCTCCGCTGCTATACCCCGTCTTCTTGAACTGTGCTTAACATCTGGATTTTTGTCTTTTGTACAGATATCGACGACTGTGCCTCCGTACCATGTGGCGGCAATGGAGACTGTGTGGATGGTGTAAATTCCTACACATGCAACTGTCACCCAGGTTACAACGGGACACCTGCGGAAATGGTGAGGAAAACTGTTAAAAGGGGATAGGTTGAAGAAACGTAACGGTTTTATTAGACTCTGACTCCTTTGCATAGTGTTTGATACCTGTCTTCTTCCCCATCTACAGATATCGACGAGTGTGCCTCCTCACCATGTGGTAACAACGGAGTCTGTGTGGATGGCGTCAACTCCTACACCTGTAACTGTAGCCTGGGTTACAACGGGACCAACTGTGAAAATGGCAAGGAAGCCAATAGATATTTCTGCGTTTAGGACAACATTTATTGTCGTTGGCTGATGCATTTTCTGTGTGGTTTCTGACAGTAAACTTTTATTTTTCCACAGATATCGACGAGTGTGCCTCCTCACCATGTGGTAACAATGGAGTCTGCGTGGATGGCGTCAACTCCTACACCTGTAACTGTAGCCTAGGTTACAACGGGGCAAACTGTGAAAATGGTAAGGAAATTCACTTGCATTTCTGTATGCTGAGGACAACATCTATTGTCGTTAGCTGTCGTCATTTCTTTGTAGTTTCTGACAGTTGCTCTATTTTCCTGTGGTTTGTTGTGGAAAGAGGTGTTTACTCCTAACCTAAT